GTAGGATTGAAAGACTTCAAGTGGGACGACCCACTACCAACGGACCACAGGGTTGAAGGGGCTGAAGTACAACGCCGCCTAAGAAACCAGCTGTGCTGGATGTGCGGAGATGCCACACACTAGGCCGATGATTGCGCTCTCGAAGAACGAATCATCATCACGGGACCGAACTCTGAAGAGATTAGATATCAAGCGGTTCACGAACAACCCAGCTTCAGAGACCCAGAAGCCAAGGTCGAGAAGAACGAACCTCGCACGTTCAAGGAACGGATAGAGCAACACGAGCGCCTGCATTAGGTTGACTGTAACACACAGTGCAACTACCACCTAAGGAAACGTGAGGAAACTAGGGACAATGAGGACGATTGTTGCCATACACATTTGTGGTACAACGAGTGTCAAGTGGATAGATGCCACACCCACGAACGCGAAAAACAGCAAGCACATTGGGAACTGTGTTGGTTCTAGTGCAAGGAGAACTGCGATTACCACAAGGAGCAAAGGAGAAATGCTCGCAAGGTAGACGACTTCTACCACAGCACGATATCAGCTCAGGAATGCACGGCAAGGAAGTGTCGCATGCACCGACGAGAAACACCAAGGGTGACAACGACGCGGATGCAAGCAATATCAGCTGCGACAGCGGGACTGGTTCCCCACGAGTTCATGCATTGGTCCTTTTGCTACGACCACGCATGCTAAGCACACCTCGACGCTAAGATCAACAATGGATACTTTCCTAAGAAAAAAGGAAAGCAGTCAAAAAACTAGGATGCCACTAGGGACAGGGTCACGCTAGTGAAGGCAGTCCTAAAACGACCCTCAAGGAAGTCAAGAGCGTAGGAACGCAGGATCTTAGACTTCGAGCGGATGTCCTAGTAAATAGACACAGGATGACAGCGACCATAGACAGTGGTGCTGCACGAACAATGATCTCACCCCAAGTGGTGGAGAAATACGATATACCCCATCAAACCAAGAAGGTGCCGATGCGAGTGGTATTAGCCGACGATAATCCCATGGCATACGGGAGCGGCATGATCAGGCTAGAAACCAAGCCAGTGTCAATGGAATTGGCAGGCAGGAAGAGCCGCGTAAAGATCAACATAATGGACCTCGGAGAGGAAGATATCCTCATAGGTTACGATTAGTTGTTAGAACACAACCCGGCCATCGATTGGCAAAAGAAAACAATACTTAGCTGAGAACCTGTGCACAAGGTTGCTGGAGTACGAAAAGAGACGAACCCGATTATCCAGAGCTCACCCAAGGACGGGAGGATAGGTACGATCTCACCACATAAGATCATGAGAATCTATGTGAAGGACCCTTAGAGAATAGGAGTCATTTGGTTAAAACAGGTCGCGACCACGAAGGAAGGACTAGTACCACAGTTGGCGATACTAACAGAATACCAGACGAACGAGTTTTGAGAACTGTTCGAGGAAAACGAAGCAACAGACCTAGCAGAACATCAGGACTGGGATCACGAGATCGTCCTCGAGGATGGAGCTAAGTTGAGCCTAGGAGGAATGTACCCCATATCGCCTGAGCACGACGCTAAGCTGCGGGATTACCTCTAAAAGAATTTGAAAAAGGGATTTATTAGACCAGGACACGGCCCGATGGCTTCTCCAATTCTGTTCGTAAAGAAGCCGAACGGGAAGTGGCGACTGTGTGTCGACTACCGGCGGTTGAACAATGTTACGGTCAAGAATCGGTACCCCTTACCACTCATAGGAGAGCTTATAGATCGACTCTAGGGAGCCAAGTAGTTTACAAAGTTCGATGTCCGCGAAGGATTCTATCGGATTAGAATCAAAGAAGGACACGAGTGGGAAACGGCCTTTAAGACAAAGTATGGACTGTACAAGTATATAGTTATGCCGTTCAGATTAACGAACGCGCCGGCGACCTTTTAGTCAGTCATCAACAAGGCGCTCCACGAATACCTAGGAATCTTCGTTACGGCCTACCTAGATGATGTACTGGTGTACACCAACGGCACGCTAGAAGAACACGTCGAACAAGTTAAGAAGGTACTACGGAAGCTTAAGGAGTACAAGTTGTACTTATAGGCTAGCAAATGCGAATTCTATACGAAGGAAACCGAGTACCTAGGCTTTATCATCTCGACAGAGGGTGTTAAAATGAATCCAAAGAAAATCCAGACTGTACAGGAATGGCCAACCCCTAAAATAGTCAAGGATGTGCAATCCTTTCTAGGATTTGCGAACTTTTACCGAAAGTTCATCAGAAACTACTCCTAGATTGCGACCCCTCTTACGGAGATTACGAAAAAAGAAGTCAGGTTTAAATAGACTCAAGACTGCTAGGAAGCGTTCGAAACGCTCAAGCAGGCATTCTTGGAGGCACCCGTACTAGAGATGTACGACCCAACACGAGAAACGCGAGTCGAGACCGACGCGTCAGATTATGCACTCGGAGCTGTACTGTCACAGCAGTGCCTAGACACGAAATAGAGACCGGTGTTCTACCATTCACGGAAGTTCTCAGGAGCAGAACTAAATTACGACGTTCACGATAAGGAACTACTCAGAGTAGTCGATGCCTTTGAACAGTGGGAGGTGCATTTGTTAGGCTTGCCCCACACGATCGAAGTGTTTTCCGATCACCAGAATTTAACGAGTTTCATGACAACCAAGAAACTCAACCGACGACAAGTCCGATGGGCTGAGATGCTTGCTCAGTTCGACTTCAAGATCACCCACCGAGCCGGATCGCTCAACGGGGCAGCGGATGCTCTGAGTCGTAGGTCAGACCTACGAGAAGATGATCACAAAGAACCACATGATGCAGTATTCAAGCAGATGCCCGACGGCAGCTTGAGATACAACCAGCCGGAACTAGCTAGGGTAGCTAAGGTGGCCGTGCAGGTAGATACGCTACAGCAGCAATGGCAGCAAAAAGCAGCCAGCTGGCAGTTCGAGCCCGAAGACGAAGGCTCCGAGGAACTGTTAAACGATGAAAAGGAGTACCAAGATATGGTTTCAAAGGACCGAACATATGTACCCCCGCACATGAGATCGAGTCTCATTAAGGAACTGCACGAGTCCCTGGAATACGGACATGCAGGATTAGAAGAAATGGTTAGAAGACTGGCTAAGGTATTTGCCATACCACGCTTGCGAGCGAAGGTGCAGGATATCCTAGGCAACTGTTTGGCATGTCATTAGAACAAGCCTAAGAGACATAAGCCCTATGGCCTGTTGCAACCCTTACAGCCTCTAACAAGACCATGGACTAGTGTTACGATAGACTTCATAGTGAAGCTCCCGGTATCAAGAGAACCTGGATCCGCAAGACTTTGCGACACGATATTGGTAATCGTGGATCGATTGACCAAAGCGGCGAAGTTTGTGCCCACGGAAGAGACTATTACAGCAGAGGAATGCGC